GGAGGATCTTAACAGCACAGAGAGGCAGGAGGGACGAAATCCTTGGGGATAGGATTTTTGAATCAAGTTCAGAAGATCAAATCTGAAAGGATTCTTCAACAACAGAATATCTGCTTGGTCATTAACCGAATTTTCGGTTCTAACAACTATATTCACAGAGTTCTAACTCGTTCAGAGTTCTTAAACTCGTTAAAGAGTTACCCATAAAACTTTCCACAGAAGTTCATCGTTCCCACGAGATAAAAGACGGTCGGATCGTCAACGGAGAGCAAATTCGACGCGAACAATCGAAGGAGGCATTCCATCGCTACTAAGAAGAACCCAGTTTTAAACAAAAGGGAGAACCAAATTCGTTCTCCTCTCTTTTGTAATCAAGTTGTAACCGGAATCAAAGAAATACAAGTCAATTTTCTTTTATTCTCTTCATTGCAAATTTTCCAACATACAGGTGACTCACCTCCTTCAGCAACCGACACATGGTACATGTCAGCCAACTCAGCTGCCTAGCTAGACTTGGCCCAAATTACCTTCTTATCCCTCAAACCCACTATAAAAAATGTTGCCCTGCATGATGGCCTTTTTTACGTAACTAAGAACTAACTCTATACTTTCCCACTTAAGATCGCCTACTGACTTGTCGTCGGAGGGACAACCGGAGAACCCAACTCCGCCCTTTTACGAGTTTCTTCATGTGCAAGGAAGAGCAACCAGCCCCAGAACTACTCATAAGAAGGAGTTAGATGACTCTAAATTACTCAACAAACTCTCAAATAACCCCCTATTTGATAATCGACATCAATAACTTATTAATAATTCTTTAATAAGTTATGATATAAATATACATCGTTATATTATGAATACATTATTATTACATTAACATTTGTTACTGATAATTGTTGTATTATATAATAAATTACTTTACTATATAATATATTATATTATTTATTATATAATATACTAATGTTTTATATACTATAATATGACCTATATTTATTCTATTCTTATTTTATTTGAGATATAATTTCTCATATATACCACTTTATTATTATTATTATCATATTATATATGATTTATGAAAATATTAACAATATTGTCATAATTTTATAATATAACATTTCTTATTGTATAGTATATTATTATATTATTATTAAATATTAATAATGCATTGGTATAGTTATTTGTATTAATATATTTATATTTTTCTTGTTTATTATTATATTATTTTAATTGCATCATAATATAATACATTAAACATATTAAATATTAATATTTAATATCTTATTATATTATTATATAATATATTTTAATTATTAATATATTTTATTTTATTTACTAAATATTACGACTATATAAAATTACCTATAACATAATATAATGTAATATAAAATAATAAGTATATATGTTGATAATAAATTTTACTAGTTAGATATAATATATTATGTTAGATATTTTCTTAACATCACCTTACACTCAAATCAAAACATTAAACTTAAATTTAAAATATGTTTTGAAGTAAATGTTATGTCTTTAGTATGAGAAGTTTTTAGCACAAAAACATCGTGTTTTTCAATTATATAATATTTTATTTTTAACAAAAACACAGTAAGAAAAGCTTTATGATATTCAAACAATACCTTATTAAGTGGTAGAGAGCGGTGGCAGAAAGGGAAGATTAGTGATGAGAAGCCCAAGACTGAGGAGAGATGGTCGTTTGACCGAGAAGGGGACAGTCCAAAGTTGAAGCCATTGGAGGAGAGTATAGCGACAGTCATGATTCGTTTGTTGGCTTCTAAATAGTTTATTATTATCTTTTATTAGGGACGAACAGATCATGTGGGCCCCACGTTGCTCACACCCTATAACTGCTGTGCCAGCACGAGAGACGCCACCATTTACGCAAATTAAACAAAATAACAGAACTAAAAGACTTCAGCTGATTACTATTTACTAGACACCTAAAATTAAAATTAAAGTTCATATTATAAAATTGAGCTATCAATATAAGGACAAACAAGTAATAAGTACGAAAACATTAAAGCAAGTATGATTTTGTTATGTGACCATAGTATCACATGCATGAACGAGACCGAATTTATCTGAGTAGTAAAAAAAAATTAGGGAAGATTTTGAGGGGGGATACAGGATAAGAAAAGATGGTATTTTTGATATTTTCAAAAGTTCATATGGGACAAGAGGTGGAAGCATAGTTCATGGGTCTTTAGCATCGCTGAAAATTAATGTCGTGAAGGAGGAAGCTGCGATTTCTATCCATGCGGAGGGGATGCGTATTTCTGTAAAATTAAGATGATCCTGCATTTAATGTCCATAGGAAATTATATGTATCCGTATAAAATTCATTTTGAAGATAAAATAAGAGAATCGATGTGCTATATGTTGACCATGGAGTCACTAAATGTATCGAGTATAACATGTAATAAATTCATTAATCATGAAGCATAAATGATTAGAATATTTCTAGAAATAAGATTTGGTGAAAAGAATTTTCCGGTAGAAAAATTTAAGAAAGGTAATATAATTATTTAAGAAAGATAATATCACAAATAGATGAAAAGAAAAAAACAAAGAACCATATAAAACAAGCATATAAACATAATCATTTAATTTCGATTATCTACATCTTAGAGTATAATGACATTACGATTCTGCTGATAGTCAGTAGGATCATAAGTCAACCTCTTGAACTCTATATCATTTTTATTTCCTCTCTTTTGGATGGGGTACAATAAGCAACGATTGAGGGACATATTTATATGATAGCATTTCTATGTAAATTTCAAAATTACAAAAATACCATATAAACAACCAATTCGTTAGGTGTAGTTAGAATCACATGTTGTTTCAATAAAACAAAATAAACTTGTTGAAACAATATTGAAATTCAGAAGTGTTTTAATATCAAGTGGTGGAATAACATGATGTTGCAAACGTACATGTCGTTCCAACTATGCTTCACTAAACACACCCTTTTTCGAAGAGCTACTTTTGAAGACCCCTACTAAGAGGCACTTTGTGCATGTTTGACAAGTTACTTATTTCAACTTATAAGTGAGTTTTACCTTATAAAGATTCAAAATCATGTTTGGTAAATGTTACTGATTTACTTATTTTTTTACTTATATAAGTATCCAAAAAATAAGTGGAGAAATCCTAACTTATTTTTTGGATACTTATAGGTAGATTTACTTATTTATGATAAAAGTCTACTTTTCCCTCTAATAAAATAAGTTAAAATAAGTTACTTATAAGAATTTAAGAAATAAATATTAGTCCAATATGCTCTTACCCCCACCCACACGCACACCTGTTTGACAAAAACTTGAACAAGATTGGAGCAGTTTATTTAGTTCAAAAAAGTCTCTTAACAAGGTTATCTTTAGGCCAACAGCTTTGGTGCTCCAAAGCAGTTGGTGTAGTTTGTTTCCTTAAAAATCTCTCTCACATCCTAAATTTGAGGGATAAGGTGCTCCAAAGCAGTTGGTGTAGTTTGTTTCCTTAAAAATCTCTCTCACATCCTAAATTTGAGGGATAAGATAGTTGACAGTAGTTCCACACCCAAAAAAGTAATTTCACTTAGATAAAAAGGTTATTTTAGGAAGTATAAATAAGAAGAGAAATAAGAAGTATAAATCAGAGCAAATTAGGAAATGAAATTAATGTTAGGTTGGTAGGAACTGATTTGTTTGTTAGAATATCATGATACAGGCATGTTTAGCTCTTCACATATTTAACAAAAATTGAGGTTTTTTCTTGGGGTTATTTACAATTAAACACCCCACAATTTACACAACTTGTAACTTTAGTACTCTCTTGCCCAATAAATACCCCAAACTTAAATCATTTATTATTTTGATACATGTAAAAAAAATTTCTTGCCCAAAATGAACCGCAACATTCAATAAATTTTTACTTTGATATCCTAGCCATGATTTTTTTTATTTTAATATCACAATCTTTAACTGGAAATTAATGTTTGGATATCAAAGTTAAATTTTGTGGACTCTGAGGCATTAAAGCTATATTTTACTTAATTAATGGGTTTTTCTGGCAAAACTAAATTTGGGGTATCAAAGCAAATTTTGTTGAACTTTGGAGTATTTTTGGGCAAAAATGAACTTTGGGCACCAAAGTTTAAAATGAGGAAAAGTTTGGGGTATTTAAGCGCAAATAACATTTCCCCCTTAAAAACGCTTTTCTTTGGAAAAAAAATTCCACGAATTTTCTATAAAAAATAGTTTTTGCTTTATTAAAATTTCATGCTATTTTCTTATCAAAATAGTGAGTAAGAGAAGGGAGGATTTCTCCTCTTTTGTGTTGCTAATTCAAACTGAGGTTGAATAATAGGAATGATCTAATCTAAACACTAAGGACAAAACTGCCCATTTTGTTCTTCTGCCTGTTTTTGAATTTTTTACTATTTTTAAATTATAAAAATGCCTAATTTCGGAGTATCAAAGCAATCCTCTATCTTTAGACCGTGCCGATATTGATTCAATCATAATCCGGTTATGACCTTAACTTGATGAAGTGTGTAGTTGCCAAATGCACACACCATTCATAGGTTCCGCAAATATAGTTACCTACACAATTACGCACATAAATAAATAAATAACGTAAAATACAAAATAATAAAAATAAAAATAAAAAAGGGTGAAGGTTGATGACAGCGAAGCAAAATATCAAAACCATCTCCCACCAAAAACCTCTCTTCTTCCATCCCTCTCTCTGTATCGTGGGTGCCACCACCACCCTGTGTCATTTTCTCTTCCCCTTCGCTATTTTCATTCTCCTCTCTCTCGCCCACGTATATACTCTCACTTTCTCTCTACCCCCACCCCCCCCCTCCCCTCCGTCTTCCTCCATCTGCCTGATCTGCTGGCTTTGCCCTCAGGGAATGACTTTTGGCCGTTACAGCTGTCACCTCAACAATCCAAAGCAACAACAGGCTCAACTCTTATAGCTTCCCCCCCTCTCTCCTCTCTCTACCCTTCACCTACATCTCTTCTCTCCCGCTCGGATTTCGAAAATGGCAGCCATCCCACCCTCGCCCGTTCCACATGGGACCCACCAACTCCGCCTCCACCGGAGACACGACCTACACGAAGATCTTCGTCGGCGGCCTCGCATGGGAGACCCAACGCGACACAATGCGGCGCTACTTCGAGCAGTTCGGCGAAATCCTCGAAGCCGTCGTTATCACCGACAAGAACACCGGCCGATCCAAAGGCTACGGCTTCGTATTACTCAAAAACAACATTTTTCTTTATTAATCCTCCTGATCTTAAATCTAATTTCCTTACTTTCTTTTTCTAACAGTCAATTGTTGTTTTTTAATAATTAGGTGACCTTTAAAGATCCGGATTCGGCTATGAGAGCCTGCCAAGACCCATCTCCGGTGATCGACGGCCGACGAGCCAACTGCAATCTGGCCTCCCTCGGTGCTTCCAATCGAACTCGGCCTCCAGCTCCTCAATATGGTCTGTTCCGATTTTACAGTGTGGGTTCGAAATACTTCAATAATAATAATGAGTTGATTAATTCAAGTTTTTATTTTTAATTTTTATTTTCGTAGCGATGGATCGATTCCGGCCACAGCGGATGCTTGCCTCTGCTTATCGTGGTCCATCGACTTCGTCTATGTCAACTGCATACTATCATCATCCTGTTCCTTTTTCAGTTTACGGGTAACTTGATCAATTCTCCAGTTTCCTGCCATATTTTTCATCACAGTGTTAATTGAACTGTCCAATACTCAAAATCCCTTGTTTATTTTCTTTAGATACTCTGCTGGTGCTGGTTATTCTCAAGAGAGCATGTACCCTATGGTTAGTTTTTATCGTTAATCTAAATTTATACCCAACTGATCTTAATTGCTAGCAATGATTCCATCTGCATTGTTGCAGAACTACTTTGGAATTGGAGCTCAACAGCAGCAGCAACAGCAGTTTGCTGCTTACTATCCATCAGCAGCAGCAGCAGCAGCGAATCCAGGGGTTTTTGCTAACTATTATCCATACTATGCTCAATACTCGCAATCTGCTCAGGCTCACAGCGGGTTTGGGCTTCATTACCCTCAAATGCTCCAATATCCTTACTTGCCTCAACAATTTGGGTCGGGTTCTTCAACCCCGATCCTCTCTTTGCCCGCATCCAATGCTGCTCAGTTTGCAGGTCTGATTCCTTAATGGGCTCTGAAAAATCCCTCTTCTTCTAGTAGACGACTTTCGGTATTGATGGTTATTTTGTCAATGCTGCAGGGTCTCAGCCAGCGCCCAGTACAGCTACAGATCGCAGCAATACATCTAGTTGAATGAATGGTTAGGGATCTGGGTATTAGAAATTCATGCATTTTTTCAGCAATCTAGCTAGTTACTAACGTTGGTCATAAAATCAGGGGGGGGAACTGACATTTTTCTGTGAAGGGAAAGGAAAATATTGGGATTTCCTCCTCCTTTGATTTTCTCTCTTCGATATTAAAGAGAGATCGATTCATTGAAATCTCCATAGAACAAGCATCTTGCTTGCTTCACTAATTACTCCATTGTTGCATTGCTTCTCAGTGATCTCTGCTGTTCATCCAAGTATCATTGGGAGTTTACATCTTCATAGATTCATGCATTAACATGAGAAAACGGTTAGCGAGAAGATTTTATGTCTCGATGCCGATGAATTCACCGAAGAAAAGCGGGAGGAGCCGCAGGGGATGGTTTTCTCTTCTGCCGATTTAACTTGTAATAATCAATTTAATTCTTCTAAATTGTTTGTAATTCTTGACAGCTTATTATCATTATTATTGTTATTATTAATTGAATGTCCAATGTGGTAGTTAGAAAAAATTGCTTCTGCTGCATGCCTTTTTTGCAGTTTGTGTTTGTGTATGGCATAGCTTTTGGGTACAATGCCAACTGTTTGAATGATAAGAGAGTGGAATCCGAAGACACTTTAAGCTGTTGATGCAATGAGAGCTCCAACTGGGTCTCTCGATCAAAGATTGTCTGCATCCATGCTGGCATTCAAAAGAGAGACAGAACCTTTAAATTTCTATTTCTTTTATATTTTTTTCTTGTTGATATTCTTTTATGTGAATAAAATTGAGGCATGCAATCAGAAGGGAAAAGGTTGCATGTGAGGGTAACGTGGGGGTGGAGATGGGCGTTGACCGGTGGGTTGACTGGAGGATAGACAGACCATTTCTGGGTTACAGTTCACAGTGGAGGCAGCTGCAGAGAGGGAAAGGATGCTGGTTGTCATACTTTTATGAGGGTAATAAATTTCTTCAGGGCTAAGTTGGGAACTGTACCCTTTGAGAAAATTTTCACATGTTATAGTTTTCTCTTGCTGTAGCAAATTTGGATGTAAGAATAAGAAATGCAGCAAAATATTCAAGTTTTAATGTCATCTTATTAATGTTGCCCTTGAGCTAGAAATTTAACTACAGTGCAAGTGCCAATTGTCTGCGGCGACAGGTGTTAGTTGGACTTGGACTGCTGATTTAATTTCACAATTTGCAGCGGTTGGAAGCTGGTTGCCGCTGGAGCTTCAATATAAATCCCAGGAAGAAATTTTCTAAATAAACTTATTCATATTTTTTTTTTCTAAAAATAGACCCCTTTGAGTTTTATTTATAAAAATAGACTCATTTTTTCTTAAGCTGGTTCCTAAATAGTCGGGGTTGGCTCATTTTTTCTTAAGCCGGTTTCTAAATAGTCGTGGTTGTTAATCCCGACTATTTAGGAGGTTATAAACCCCCAATTATAACCCTAAACCCTAACATTCTATACACTAAATAGTCGGGGTTAGCAACCCCGACTATTTAGAAACCGGATTAAGACAAAATGAGTCGATTTTTGTAAAAAAGAACTCAAAGGGGTCTATTTTTAGAAAAAAAATTATGAATGGGTTTGTTAAGAAAATTTCTTCTAAATCCCACTCATACAGATCATTCAAGTGTGATTGTTGTGTCAGTGCAAAACTTTTAGCTGTATTTTCTAGGACGTTATATATTCTATTGACTGTACTATGGTGAATGAAATTATATACGAGGATTATGATTAGATAGTAACATCTTGATGATATATTTCATCTGTTGGGCTACTTTTTTTAAGTGATGAATATTCAGTGTCCAAGCATGGACGTGTAGGAATTTTAATGAACGTCTACTAATTCCCAAATAAAATTGCACGGAATCTATTAGGTACTGGTGATCCGTGGCTACGCTTATCAAAGTGTGCCCCGAGAGGTAACAGAGAAAAGTGGTTTGAATGTTGAGTTGAACAGTTCAAGAAGTTGGATTCTCTTATCTTTAGTGGTCTCCTAAGCTTTTTTCTAAAGTCAGAATGGTGATAATTTGGCACGGAGACAAATTTTGAGAAAGTTTGGGATATTTGAATTGTTAGGACCATATTTGTATGTATCCATACGATTCACTTAGTTTGATGAATAACAAATATATATATTGATCTAATATGTGCTTGAGATATTGTAAACAAGTTATAAAAAGTTAGAATTAAGTTTGGAAGCAAAAAAAAAAAAAAAGCAAAAAACAAGTCAAAATCAGCAAATTAGGATTTCACTCATTGATGAAGGGTCAGACTCATCGATGAGCATGAGATCATCAATAAGGAGGTCAAACTCATCGATATGCAAAGGGGTTGACATAAAGCAAAAATCAATAACATATATAGTTTCTAATGATCATCGAGGATTTTGGCCCATCGATGAATCTCGAGCTGAGCTCATTGATGAGCAAATCCACTCATCAATGAGTGGCATCCGATTTTTTGAATTTTATTCTGCTTTTGATTCGATTTGAACCGTTTGTTGTTGAGGTTATATAAGCGCTTTCCTCCCTTTCCTCTTGATATTAGGCTTAACACCCTAGGATAGATAGCCAGTCTAGACACAACAACCGCTTTCCTGAAGGTCATGTTATTAACCAACCCCCACTTTTTAATGGCATGAACTTTCATATTGGAAGGCTCATATGAGAGTATTTCTTTTATCCCTAGACTTTGATGTTTGAACGTAGTAAAATTAGGCTGCAACAAACTCGCCGACACTATAGGTAAAATCACCATAATTAAATCTAAGGATAAGTGAGTAGCAGCTGACATGTAATTATATTCTCTTAATACAAAAGATATGAATGCATTATGTTTGTTTGGGGAGAAAATTGTTTTCTTCATTGAGTTATTCATTACAACTTTAGTTATTACAATAAAAATAAAAAGATAGTCTTTTTATAAGACTCTTACACAATGAAAATAAAAAGTGCAATTCTCGTCAAAACAAACGCAGAGATCATTTATCGGTCTTCTGCTTGCGTGGGGATTTTTCCTGTGCCGGGGTTAATCCGTGGACTACCGAACGATCAGATCAGATCTGGAGTTTTGTTGATTCGTGAAGGAATCAAGAAACCGAAGCAATTATCTCGGCAACAGCGAGATAATCACTCTTCTCGAGATCACCGTAACGGGGCAATCTCAAGGTAAAGAATCGGGCTACAGATCTGACGAACTCCTCTTCTTTATCCTGAAGAATTCGCTGAAGTCTCCTCCTTCTCTCTAAAATTCATGGCTTTTCAGTCCTCAATTCAGCAGGGCTTCACCGACGCTCGAGAATTCCAGATCTGAGAAAAATGAAGGCCCTGGGGCTGTATTTATAGGCTTCGGGAGCTCTGTTTTCGGATAAAAATGGTTGATTCACTCTTTATCCTTAGTTGTAATCACTTAACCATATTCTTAGATGATATCTTATTAGTTGGAACAAATGTAGACGGTTAACGGTCGAAAAACGGTTCAAAACGGCTCAAAACAGGCAAAAACAGATTTTGAGGACTGCGGACCCCCGTGGGTGTCTCGGCCATGCTTCGGTCGAGACACCATTTGGTGTCTCGGCTAAGCATTGGCCGAGACACTACTTGGTGTCTTGGCCAAGCTTTGGCCTGAACTTGGTTTACACATTCTGTCTGTTTTCGCTGTATATTCATCGTCCGAACTCAAATTACTCGATTCAAAATGCATCGGAAAACTGACGAGGAGATCTACAAGCTCCCATAATTGAATCATATATAGAATGAATGGGATACGAGGGGCGCTTCATCTTTCATAAGCGACGTGTAGCTCCCGGTCCATTCGTGTTTCCGTTGTTCCAAAATTCCGTTGCTTCGTGTGGTCCGTAGACCCACCTCATGTGTTTGTCATCGTCAAATGAGCTTCTGTGACTCAAATAGTGACGTTCATCATCTTCTCTCTGTCTCGAGTCGTGTGCGGGGACCTACAGGTAATTTTTGACGCCTACAAATACCCCTCCAAAGTATTTCAAACTCATTCTTTTATAGAAGAGTATGAAATGCTTTGGATAAGATAGGCCCTTTCCTTAATCTCATAGAGGGACCCGTGAACTGCTTCAATTCTTAACTTCTTCAGCCTTCAGTCTATTCAGTATTTTGTCGAATAGATGAAGTTCTTCCAACACTACGTTTATCGTCTGACCGTTGTCGAAATCTTAAACTGAAGTTGATGCGTAAGTTTCTGAATTTAGCTCGTATCATTGAGTTGACTTTAAACTGATCATCTTCGTCAGAAATTCATATCTGAATATGATTGAACCGAGGATCGACCTTTACAGCCTTCAAAACGAGTTCAACCTCCCGAACCATCCCGAGGAAGGAGGTCAATCTTGGAGCGCCTCGGTCCAATTCCCGACGAGCGCAACGAAGTCCATGAACGCTCGGGCCCGATGAAGAGGCTCCGAACTAATCAACATGCTGGGGGTCGACACAACCCTCAACATGACAAAGAGTTTACGGCACCCAAGCGCACTACCTTGCGCATCGAAGTTCGGGAGCCCGCTGAGAATTCATGTCTACAAAGGCGTGTTTCGAGGCGAGTGACTCTCGGAAGTCCAAATAAGGCAGTTTGCTCTCAGAAGGAAACGTTGTCATCCGAGGATGATAACGTTATACCTGGGAAATCATGCCAACACGCGATAGGTTACTCCGATCAAATGGACGAGTTGTACTATCGTGCTGGGGGTACGAACAAAACAAGAAAAAGAAGCCCTCAAGGGCTCGAAACTCAGTGCCCATGTGCCAAGCTCATTCGGGTAGTACTGTCTCAATGCAACTGCATCAAGGGAGTCCCCGAGAGAATTTCAGTGTTCGAAAGGCTCGGCACCGAAACGCCAAAACCAAGGCATAGGCGCTTCCGGCAAAGAAGAACAGTGGTTAAGGATGGAGAATTTCCGAAGGTCACCGCCAACATGACCAGCAAAGAGACATCGACACAGATTGATCTCAAATCGTTTCTGGAAGCGTCCCGGCGTGTAACCCGTCTGCAGTCCGGAGCCATCGCACGAGGAACTTATGGTAGGGTTCGGATAAGATTGCCTTCGGAAGATGAAGAATCGGATTCCTGCTCTGCTGTCGCATCGGACAATACAGTGTCCAGCGAAGGACAACCCCGCGAGTCATTCATGATAGGCGCGGAAGAAATGGCCAAAATGCTTGAAGACGCTTTGGCTAAGCAGAAAGAAAGTTTTAAATTCGAGATGGAGACGGCCATGCAGCAGATGAGAGAGATGCATGAACAGCAAATCCAAGCATTCAGGAACCAACAAGGTGAACCAAGCCACCGTAACCAGGTTGCTCAGGAAAAGGAGCACGCGGATGGGGATGAAGCTCACAATGCCAATAACCCTCCCATCAATGCAGGGGGTGGTAGTGAGGATGCCAACGGGGATACAAGTGAAGACTTGAAGATCAAAAGCCTCGAGAGTAAAATCAATACGTTGCTGTCTGCTCAAGAGGTAAAGAAAACGGGCATTCCTTGTCCAT